CGTATGTATGCATGTACAACTATATTTTTTTTTTGTTTTTGTATAGGTCCGTTTTGTAAATTTAATATTAATATGCTAAACATTTTCTTCTTAATTTTTTATTGTTTGTTTAGTGTACTCTCTTCTGTGTGAACTATTTTATGTATGTATAACTGTTTATATGTGTGTATATATATATGTGTGTGTGTATTAACGCCTAAACGCTCTTAAAAACTCCAAACAATTAATATATGTATATGTATGTATATGTATACGTATATTTTGTTTTATATATATATTTATGTATATTTGATAATATTTTAACGCAGTGGGTGACACACTAGGCTAATAATAAAACTTAAAACAGTCATAAAGTGTAATAAAACATTTTAGTGTTTTTTGCATTTTTCCTTCATATTAATTTACAATCAAAATTATGCTACAGCCAAAGCGGCACATACACAAGCACAAATTTGTCTACAGGCGCAGCTACATTTGTTCTTGTTTTTGTGTGTGTTTTTTTTTTCATTTTTAAAATATACTCGTACGTAGTATGAACATTTTGTTATGCTGCTGTTTTATGTAGTAGTTAATATTTTGTTTTTGTGTGTATTTTAGAAAATAATAACGGTTTTCTACACGTTCCATAACGAAGTCAGTTGGTTTTTAGGATTTCTTTTTTGTTGTTTTTTGTTATTTGTTCTTTTCAAATTAACATTAAATTTGCATTGTAACGCTGTAAATTTAATTTAAAATTAATTTCATTTACTTAATTTACTAATTACTCTAATTAGCGCTCCGTTTTCCTCTTTAAGGCGTTGATTCTCCGTTTTGTAAACTTCCAATTGCTAATTGAAATAGAGAGAGAGAGAGAGAGAAGTGTATTAATTAAAATAACATTGCATGTGTACAGTTATTTGATATACCAGTAAATATAATAAACAATTATAACGAATTGTAGTAATGCCATATTCAGCAAAAAATTAACAAAACATCCATAAATTCAATACAAATAACGAATATTGTAATATTGCATAGTAATTAAGAAACGGCATTGCGAGCGTACGAGCGGCGAGCGATAGATTTATTGAGCAGCTTTGGCGCTTACAATAAGCAGTAGTTTTTTTTTTTAATTACCAACTACTTACACAGAGATATATTTGCAAAACAATATTTTTTTTATAAAATGTATATATATAGGTATATTTAAATGAATTCTTTCGTAAACCAGTTGTAAAAGAACACTCCAACTCGCTTATATGCTACAATTTTGACAACCTAGTTGCATTTGACTTAAAGTTGTTAAATAATAGTTGGCTAATAATTATATATGAATTTTATGAAGTTTTTGAAAACACAAAATATTTAGTAAATGGAATTTAAAATATAAAAATTCAAAATACAATTCACAATACAACTTTGCTCGAATTTCGAATATTTGTTCAAAGAAAAAACAAAAAACAAACAAAAAATTTTTTCTTATGAAAAAAAAAACGAAGTCGACCGTTATTATAGAGATTATCCTCCTTCTAAACTTGAATATAATAACCTCTAAGTAAATATTTTTAGGTTAGATCGCTAATGAGTTGTCTCGAAATCAAGAACGAGTAGTAGCAGTGCATGAAAACAAAAACAAATCGATATAACGTATGACGTCATCGGTGCAATTTTGTTTTTGTATTTCTTGGTCACATCTGTCACAGCCTAAACTGAAAAAAGTAACGATAAAATTTTGGCGTCACCTTTATCTCTTATCTGTCTTGCTCAAAATCTATCAATTTTTTTACCTATCGAATCTTATTTACAATTATAAATAAGCATGACAACGAAACCCAAGTTCTAAGAAACTCAGAGAAAGTGATCAGTGACGAAAATATCACTAGTGTGATATTTTTCTAGCTTTGTAGAAGTTGAGACATTTTTTAAAAACAGGGAAATCTCATAAAGTTATGGTAGATAAGATATTAGAACAGCTCAAGATCACAAAAAAAGCGCTTTAGCGATTCGAACAAAATCGTAAATTTATTTTTATTTTAGGATTACTCACTTTTATTAAGACAATAAGGTTAGTTTAGTGAGTTAATAATATTATCACAAATATATCATCATAATTTAATTCCGGTTTTCCATGATATTATTGGTTCTGAATACCAAAATTAATAGTTTCAATTTCGAGGTAGGGTTACCTCACTACGAATTTCAATTTATTTTAGTTTTAATATTTGTTTTTCTATTAGTATAAAGAAATAAGTCGAGAAATTTGGGTTATCGAATAAGGAATACCCATATAAAGTAGAATATAACCAACACAGACAGCATTTTTGTTAATATAAATATTTTCAAAGTCCTTTCCTTAATTAACAACCACACAACTCTAATTATGTGTAAACCAATTATTTCATAGAATATGAATTTGAACGAACAAAAAAAAAATCACGTACATAAAATGAACACGACATGCAAATGAACGAGAACGAACGAACGACGTCATGCAAATATTTGTAAGTATGTACATAAGAAATAAATGAATTAAAAAGTTTTAATTTGTTTAACATGATAAATATTTATTTTCGAACGCAAACACTCATACACTTTCACAACTGCAGCAACAACAGTGCATAGTAAGCAATTTTTTGGGGCGAATGGGCAGATAGATCGGGTATATGAGAGCGCTTTGAGCTAAATTATACTTAAAATAAATAACAACGAAGCCCAGCATTTTGCTGATGATGAAGTGCTACCAGATATTAGATGATTTAATGAGCAAAGGTTGAAAAATGAAATCATCGAAGTATCCTTAAATATTTTGTATAGAATGGATGAAGGAAAATTATAACCAGGGATGGTATATAGCTCTGTTAGAATAGCAACTAGATATTCTTCTGTAAACATCTATTTACTTCTTACTTCTTTTCAGTCATATTGTTCTATTTCAAAACATACCTCAGGCTGAACACTTAGTGTAGCAATGAATAAACTCAGTTCAAGACGTTAATATTCTTTAATTTGAAACAGAACAAATGGATGGATATTCCTTGCTACTACCAACGATGAAATTCTCATGGAAATGCATTTTCACCTCTTATAATTAGTGAAAAAATTTACTCTTCGCGAGACATCATTAATAAGAGTAAATGGTGACAACGACTAATAAAAAAACCAACAGAGTATATGAATTATCAAATCGTTTTTGAAACAATTTATAGGGTGTCACCAAAAAACATATGAATACACTCAATTTAAGGGAGACTTCAAAAATTAAGAGATTTAAAAATTTAGAACCGCCTTAAAAATATATAATTTTCCTCGAAGATTTAAATATCCCAATACTAAAGACACTATGATATGATATTATTAATTATGGGATGTTTAATAACTTCTGATAAATACTAAACAAAAAACTTGAAAACAAGACCGAACAATTTTTTGCACAAAAAAAGGAGTAATAAAATTGGTTAAGAAGTCATAGAAAGATAGTTTAGCCAATAGATAAAAAAGGCTTTCGCACAAACTCCAAAAACATTGTATAATAAAGAGTATAAAACAAAAACTGCTGAATTTTCCAATGAACAATTTTTCCAATACTCATAAATATGCATACAAAACACGAAACAGAACAAAGGAAGAATATTTTATTTTATCGAAATGTGTATTAATATTTTACAAAGTTTAAACTCAGAACAGCGGAGTATAACCAAAGAGAATAGTAATCATTACGCATACAAACAACAATTTAACAAGGAATCAACAGGTATCACTAACACTATGTTTCCCTTTCAGTGATTTTTGAAATCTTCAACAGTGATTACAACGATATTCAAAAGAAACAATTGTCGAACAACTTTTGCAATTGACTTTAAGATTACAAATTGAAATACTGTAGCATACGGGTACTTATCTACAAAACAAGCAGTTTGTTAAGCTCTAACTGTAAGGATATAAGCTTTCTCGAAATTATGGAAGTTCTGATCCAAGTGTGTGATCTATCGCGTTAGGCGCTTGCTAATATGACGTCAATAAACAAACATTTTCGCTCTTAACTAGCTTTCTTTCATTGTACTTACTTCTTAATGTACTTATAGCACAAAAGGACTACATATAAAGGATATATATCTTTATACCCTGAACAGTATATATTAAGTTTGCAACGAAGTAGGTAACACACAGTAAGAAACGTCAGAGACCCTATAAAGTATACACTCGTATATAAATGATCAGCGTGACAAGCTGTGTCGATTTAGCGATGTGGATCTGTCTGATTACGATTAATAAATACACGATTAATAAATATCGATCTGAAATGCACACGTCACTTTCTTCCCAAGAAGCTGCTCATTTGTCGCAACCGCCGATATAGCATAATGCTGTCAAACAAACTGATCGACCAAAATCTACTCCTTGTATGGAAAACTTTGTTATTTGACGAGATATCTTTAATTTGTCATGGATTATTGCCCAAGGCAACGGTATAATCTGCGAACAAATTGTTCAGAGCAACCCACTTTAGCCCATACGAGTGACTTTTTTAAGTGCTTTGAGTATTGGAAAAAACGCTGACATAAGTGCATTATATCTAGGGGACGCTGAAAAAATTTCAATACACATTCTGCAAAGACTTCAAACAAAACACCTCTTTTGAATATCGTTTTCTTGTTCTGGAACATGACAATGTACTAATTCGTACAAACTAAATAAACAGAGTTGTAAAAAAAAACATTCATATTATCAATACTCATACCGGCGTAAATGCGAAGTAGGCGGAACCACAAGCCAAAACTTTCGAATTTAGTCAACGTCGAGACCGTTGCTACTTAAAGATGAAAAAAATTTGTATGAAACCAAAGCTGAAAAGTGCTAATTTCACAAGTTGCCTGATGGAGACGAAGCTTTATTTATCTTTTGCCTTCGAGATGAATTTTGATTAATTTTCCACTATTTGTTTACATTCTAAAGAATTTAACGTTATTTTAAACGCTTTGCACTCAGCGTTTAACCTTCCATTTGATTAAATACACTTTATAATCATTTTAACTATATTTATTCGATTATTGTGCGGTTATGATATTAAATTACTATAATCTTTTAAATATTGTATGTATGTAGTAAAACTATGAGTATACAAGTAATTTTTGAGCAATGAAAACTGCAAAGTGCGGAGATGATGTAGTTTGGAGCTTGGCAAACTCTCTCTTAACTCTTTTCGAACGCTAGTTAACGGCTTTAGTTGATAGTAAGTGTTACTCTCTCACTAAGCTTAGTCCATTTGTGCTCCAGCGTGCAATAATCATTACTGAATTCTCTCAGTAATTCATTGATGTATTGCTCCACATTCCAAGTTTCAAACCAATTTCGTAGTGAGATTTAAGTCAGCCAATCTTTTTGTCCAACATATTTTTTACTTTTTCTCGACAAACAATGTTTTGGGCACTATACGACCCTTTCTTTTTAAATCGCTTACAGCTTACTATTCGGATTAATATTTTCAAATTTAGCTACGATTGATTATAATGGCAACGTAGATAATTTCCATCAGCTTTGATCGCTTTGTGTCAGTGTAAATTGTCCAGTCTAATACGAGCTTAAATACTGTAGCACATTAGCTTTTCATCATTTCCTTTAATGAACACTTATCTTTAAACATATTTATTCGCAATTCGTAAACAAATTTTCAACTACTCAATTTCCTTAGTCTATAGCGTATATAATTCACAATTAATTAAATTTTTTAGTGATTTTTTTTTTCATGAATTAATTGAATTATTTTGATTTTTTAGCTAGTTGACTTTGAGCTGAAGTGGTCAACTTGGATACGACACGCGTGAGAGCGCGATTCTCCGCACGCAAACGCTCATTCTCAGTCTTTAGCTTCTGCAATAGCTAAAATGACAAAACAAAACAACAAAAGTGATGGAGAAAAAAGAGAAGAACGAGAAGTATAAGAGCATGGTAATTAACAGATTTCGTTTTCGATGAGATTGATGAAAACATGAAAAACATAGGTATGAATGACGAAGATGCGAATGTAAAGGACTGAGATATTAAACAATTGCATGGTAAAATTGTATTCAGGTGGGGAGGTGAAAAACATAAAAACAAAAGTTCACACTAAATTTGAGTATGGCTTTGCTGATGATGATACTGAGGAAATCATAAGTTGTGAACTGAGTGCTCAGAGTTGTCATGAAAGTTAATGAGTTGCAACGTTGCAAGTATGAATGAGAAATGCGAATTATACAATATGTGTTTGAAATGCGTAGGAAAATTGAAAGTTTATACGCTGGTTCTATGTGTTTGCATGAAAGCTAAAAATAGTTGCATGTTTAGGCTGTGAACAGACTATGGACAATTTGAATGTGTGTAATGGTTGTAGTATGATATGAGGGACAATGACGTGACACGCGGAAATCACAAAACAAAGAGGTGAATTTATAACTGTCAATATACAAAAACAGATGTTTATATAATATAATATGTACAAATATGTATTTCCGAAAAATAAACTCAAAAAAACGACAAAAATTATGCGATGAACTTTTCTGAGTAATGAATTTAAAATATACTAAAGATGAATTGGATGAATCCGCATCTAAACACAATATTAATATCGTCAAAATTCAGCTGGTAATAAATTATTGACCTCAATTATGAGTTTCAGTCTATCTTTGACTTTCCTTGGGTACGTAAAATAGAAGAACGATTGTAAAAATTAAAAAATTACAAAAAAAAGAGCATTTAAATTTTGTAAGACGTAAAATAATTAATTTAGTGTGGGAAGCTAACGACTTTTATCGGCTTAGGGATTTGTGAGAGAAATGCACTAAAAATCGAAATAAAGTGAAAGTTCCAAAGCTTTCGTGAATTGTTATCTTCTCCACTACGTGATATATTTTTTTTTAGTCAAAAATCGAACTTTTACCTTCAGTTAGAAATTTGTGAGAGAAATGCGCTAAATTAAACAATTGAAAATGAAGTAAAAACTCAAAAGCATTTGTTACGTATCATCTTTTTACATAAATGATAATTTTTGACTAGTCAAAAATCGAACTTTTACCTTCAAATGCTAAGATTTAGAGATCTTTGAGAGAAATGCACGAATTAAATCGAAATGAAGTGAAAGCTCAAAAGTTTTCAAGTTTCATCTTCTCATATAAGTGATAATTTTTGTAAAGTGTGAATATTAGGTTCTCCAAAAGATGTTTATGAAACTTGGAAGATGTAAAGTCGTTCAATATTCATTATGATTGTAATGGTTTAGCAGCAATTTAGTTTGATAATTTTTTTCAAAACTTTGCTTTGAACTGCATAACAAATATATTTTTGTTAGCTTAGTAGATGACAAAATGTGTACACATCGAATTGGGGTTATTGTTAAAAGTGAATAAACACAGGGTGCATCTAATGAAGAAAAACTTCAGTAAATCTTTACTGTGCTCTTCAAATTAGTGCATTTAAAAGTTTTTCAAAAATAGTTAAAACAAAAAAACAATTTAAATCTTAGGAAATATCAAAAATTCAAAGCAACAACGGCGAAGCTGGAGAAAAGCAGAAGCAAAAACCAAAAAGCGACAGAAAATTAAAAAAAATAATTATAACAAATAAGAGTAGCAACATAAAATGTTTGTTTATATTCGCATTGAAATTTCCAAAAAAAAATAAAACATAAAAATTTGAAAATTAAAAATAAAGAATTTTTTTAAAGTAAAAAGCTTAAGCTTTCTGTATTCTTAAAACAACTTATAGCACTAAATATTAATAATAAAATAAAAAAATATATATATGTATGGTGTAGTGATAAATACATTCCACTTCGAAAATATCGCAATAATCAACAGTCATCCGTAATGCATCGAAAGCTTATTTTAGTAATTTTCAATCGTAAGCTTGGTGTTAAAAGCACTTGCTTAGTGGAATCATATTAAATTAGAAAAGAAAACTATATATTTCATAATAAATATACGCTTGTTTGAAATTTAATTTGTATACAGGGTGTTATAATAAATCACAATAGCGTCGGGTTTAGTGTATCAAACAACAATAAACAAACAAAAAATATTCACAACTGTGAAAGTGTAAAGGGTGTTGGTAACAGTAAGGGATGCATGCACGTATTGTGCATATATTTGTAAGTGTGTATGTGTGTAGTAAGTATGTCGGTTATAGGTATATGTGTGCGTGTGCTTGGAAAAATATTTACCTTTAACTCTTCTTCCATTTCGGAAAGTTTGCGTTCCATTGCTCTCCTTTCGCGTTTTTCAAGCTCTGAGAGTGAGTTTTTAGTTGTCTGCAAAAATTAAATTTGCGAAAATTTTGTTTCGATATTTTCTTTTTCTTAACTTTTTCTTCAAATTTAGTGGTTAACAATTTTGTGTTTTTTTTTTTGTTTTTTCGGTATAACAAATATAGAATATATTCAATTAAAAAAGCAGGCGAGAGCAGCATTTAGCGGAACCTTATTACTTTTTGTATGGTCGGGTGGGAAGCATGTGTAAATCTGTGTGTATGTGTGCAGTATGCTTTTTAACGGAGTAAAGGAAATTAGCAAGAGACTTTTATTAGGCGTAGAATAAGAGCGTGGCCATGTGAAGAGTATATTTACATCTAACATTGGAGAGCAGCGTGGGTTGGTGATTGGAGCGCAAGTGTGATATTGGCAAGTCTCTATTTATGTCTGTTAGTTGCTGAAATGTGATTTTTTTTGCTCGTGTCGATAAAGCAGTTGTGCCGTCTACGATGGATATCGCTAAGTATGATCTATTGGTTGGTGATATTTAGTGTTTCGTCTGGTACAGGTACATCTGTACTTGTACATACATATGTATATTTTAGAAAGCATAATGTTTTATTTGTTTTTTGTTTTTACACATTTGTATTTTTTTGTGTTTATTTTTCTTCTCACTGTTTATGTTTAAATCCCTACCATATTTTTGACCTACATATGTTTTTGGCATATTCTCTGTTTTTGTTTATTTTGTTACTGTTTGAATTGGCTTTTCGGTCAATTCTATTAATTGCCTTCTGCTTAAGCGTAAATTGGCGGAAAGTTGTTTGCTTGTAGCTGTCGGCTTTATGCTAAATACGCTTTAATTGTTTATTTGTATAGATTATTTTTAATTAGCTGTATGTATGTTGTCAGCGGGCAATGCACGTTTAGTATATAATTTGTTGTTGTTTTTAATATAGTTCTTTTTATAGAGCTCTTCTTTTTTACTATGTTTGCTTTTTCATGTTTTTGCTTCTTTTTTGTTTATTATAATTATTCATTATTGTTATGTATAACTGAATAATCTATCAAAGATTATTCAGCATTTTTATTTATCTAAAAACTGTAAATTTCGGTATTTTTCCACTTACTGCGTTTGTAAATCTTTCGAGTGTTGCTCTACTTTGTACGATTTCATCATCTTTTTTCTTAAGCTGCTGCTTGAGCTTGTCATTCTCCAATCTAAACGATGAAAATAAAAAAGTTATCGAAGATTTTTTATTTTTGAAATAAATTCACATTTAAGAAAGTTTATCAAATTTTAGAACAAAATTACAAATGTTTAACGAATAAGTGGCAATGTTTTCAAAAATAATCGATAAATCGGAGTCATTGCTTATTTATTAAAAATACTCGTGATTTTATGGAGAAATGGAATTTAGAAGTTATTTCTAAATCATGTCGAGATTATATGTTACAAATAAAAAGGTTTATGTGGCCCTCATACATATATCGAGCTTTCCTGAATCTTATATACGCGAACTAGTTACTCAGTTCTTGATATATCGATCCGAACGTTCTTTTCTACCCAAGAAGCTGCTCACTTGTCACCATCCCGAGACCGCCGATATCGGACCAATATAGGATATAGCTGATATACAAACTGTCCGATCCAAAAATCCTGGCATAAATTGTATATATCCACAATCAATCATACAAACTCCGAACATTTTGCTCAGATTGGACCACTATAGCATATTGCTGCCATTCAAACAGACCAATCAAAATCAAGATAAATTTCTTCATATAATATAATTTTTCCTCATTAAGAAACCTTAATTCGAGGAAGGTTATTTATTTTAAACAGTGCTGTGCGTTGGACCTAACCGTTAGCCCGATACATTTTCAGATTTACTTATACATATGACCGCTTTAAGCCATAGGCGGCCCCAAGCTCCTTAAAAAACAGGTGAGAGATGGATGAGGCATCCTCATCGGCTTCTAGTAAGCTTCTCGGGAAGTAGGAGGATGAAGAAAATAACACCTTCAGAAAGAGATGGGAACTTCGGACAGGCTCTAGTCTTTCGGATAATCTATAGGAAAACGTAATTTTAAATTCCAACTAGAAAAGTGGAATTGAACGACAACTATTTTTGCGTAGATAAGTAGCTTTTCGTACGATCTAGGCCTGCAAACTAAGTACTTTTTAACTTTGTCACACCCACTTTCTATCACTATTCAAACATGCACTTACTTTACAGCCTCCCATAGAGCCTTGTAGTCGATGGCTTCGCCATTCTCTGACCTATCACGTGCTTTATTCTCGTCTGTTGTGGAGTTTGCGTTGGTGTTGGCGTTGGTGGTGCTGCTCAAACGTGAACGGGATGCGCCGCGTTCACCGCCACTCTAAAAAGCGAGAAATAAAGGGAAAACATTAATTTAATACAATAACAAAATCGAACGTAAATCTATGACATAATATCGAAATAAGGAACATAATAAATAATTTAAACAATAATGGCAACAACAACATAGTACGTTGTATGTTTAACTATATTTTTATGAAAAGTACACACGAACATACTTCGTAACCTTCACTTTTCTCCGACGATGCGCTAACAGAACGCTGCGCGGCGCTACGTGAACGGGAGCGATTACGCGATTTACGCTCCTGCTCACGCAACGAGTTGCTACGTCCCACCAAAGCGGCCATAGCTGCAGCGCTGCTGCTGCTCACTGCCGCCGCGACAGATGTGGGCGCCGAACTGCCGCCGTACGAATTCAAATTACCGTTCGAATTAGAGATTGTCTTGGTCTTGAGCAGGGACGGAGTTGAGCGCGTGCTACTCGGCGTGCTTCTGTACGACGAACTGCCAGTAGAAGTGCCTTTGAAGGAATTCGACTTGCCAGCGTTGCTGCCCAGGCTAAACGAGGCGGTAGTCACCCCATTGTCATAGCTGGTGTAGGGGCTCATGTAGCGATCGCTGGCGCTGCCGGTGCTGCTGTAGGGATTCGAACTGTAACGCGATTCATAGCCGCTGCTGCCACCCCCATTGGCTGTGGATGGTGAGGAGTTGTATAAATAAGATTTCTTATTATTGTTATTACTAATACTACTATTGCTAGTACTATTATTGGCGTCGGTGCATGAGGCAGTGCTATTATGAGATCTCGACATACTACTACTGGTGGAGGGTGTGCAATAGCTGCATTTGCACCTATGACGGCTACCGGTAGGCGATAGCGAAGCATGTCGAGAGGTTCTTTGCACTGCAAGCTTTGACGTTGGCGTTGAATGATGATGATGTGAAATGGAGATGATGCAGGAAGAGGAGGTACTTTTCGGATTGGCGGATTTTGCATATTGCTGCGGTGATTGCTGCGCCTGCTGATGATGATTGTGATTATGCTGATGATTATGGTGATTATGATGATGATGATTATGATTGTCAACGCTAGCGCTGACTTTTCTTGGCGTATAATGAGTGATGTCTTTTTTCAAAGCTATTGCGCTGGAAATAGCATGGTGGGTACTTGAGGTGCCAGTAGCTTTAGTTGGATAAGCGGAAGTAGCGGATGTGCATGTGTACTCATAACGGCCAATTACAATGACGCCACCACCAGCATTTTTACCGTTCGAATAATACGAGTTGCTGCTAGCACCCGCTGTTGCACGACTTCCGGCTGTGCTGTAGAGATTATCACGCGAACCATAAATATTCGCATACGGACTCTGGTAGTAGGAAGACGATGATGCGCCGGAACCATTCTGATAATAACCCGTGCTTAAAGGACGTGAAGTGGAGCTGCCGTAACCATTTGTGTGATTGCTATTGTAATTGCTGCCGTTATAATTGTAGCCACTGCCACCACCGATACCCGAAGACGAGGTGGCACGCGAACTGGAGAGTGAGCGACGACGCGACGCGCCGGCTAGCGGCTGAGCGGTGCGGGAACGCGAACGAAAGGACATTGCAGCAGCAGCGGTACTTCGAATAAGACCACTGTGTGAAGCTTTTGCTGTTGATAACTCTCGAGCTGCTTAGTTAAAATTTGAAATTTCGGTGTTTTTCGGAATATAAGGAAAATTTAATATTTTTTTTTTTGTTACATAAGAGTTTGGCATGAGTTCACTGAACCAAATTGCGTACGCAGCGTCTTTAGCTTGCGTTCAGCTATAAAAAATTACAATAAATTTTAGTGAAAGGCGTCAAATTAAGCACTTTGTGTACAAAAATGCATCGCGCATACAATACAACGCAACCATATCGAAATAAATGAGGCGTTTAAGAGCGTGAGTTTCGGAAATTTTTGCATTTGTTTATGCAAAATTTTAATAATGCCACTCAAAAATTCAATTAGGCGCAACCACAATGTTGCCGTGCATTGAAAAACGTAAATAAAAAAAATTAGCAAAATTAAAACAAAAACAAATGGGAAGAGGAAGAGGAAGAGCATGAGAAATTACAAATTTATTGGATGGGAAGAATATATAAATAAAAAAAAAATTATGAATACAAAAAAAAAATCAAAAAACACATACAAAAACACAATCTAACAATGATAATATAAAAAAACATAAAAATAAACAATAAATAAATAGAAATTATGTAGAAGGGAGAAAAAAATACTAAAACATAATCAATAAATCGCCTTAAAAAAAAAAAAGTAAAATCAAATATATATACATATACAATACAAAAAAAAAATAATAATTTACTAAGCATTCGACGACTGTTTAAACAGCCAACCAGAAATACATGTCCAAAGAGCCATGAAAATTTGACGTCAGAAAAAAAGATTATCCATCACAAGTTGTGCAAATGGTATGAGCAGAAAACTTAAATCGCACATTCGCTTAATTTGCGTTGCGCTGCCGATGTTCAATTGTACATCATCGACGCTCACACATACACACAACTGCCTTTTCAAATTAGCGTTTTTGACCAGGAAACACGAAGATAAAGTAATACAAAGCAACACATGTTTAAGCGAAATTGTTTTCTTTGAAATAACAAAAGCAGATAAAGTAAAGACTTTTGCCATATTCCATAAACCACAACGCGCCGACTGCTGAATCACCCACGCGGTATTAAGTAAATGGAAAGAAAAACTAAAAATACACACACAGATGTATTGCGAAGGAATTGGGGGAAAACTTGCCAGCGAATGCAATGCCTGCAGGAAAAGTTTGAGAAGGTTAATCGAAAATTCTTAGTTTTTTTTTACAAATTTCTTGGTTCTTTCGAATTTTCTACAATTTTAGTGTGAAATAAAATTGGCTCATTCGATCATTCAAAAAGAATTCACCTATTATTGAAGTACATTGAATTTTGTAACTATACATTATTTTTATTGATTTATACAATAAAGTCTTCAAAACATAAAAAATTAAAATATTTAAAAAAAAAAAAACGTTTTTTCTCTCATGTAAATTGATATAACCCCTTAAACCACTTAGAGGATAAGCTATTTATTTAAAACATAAAACTGATAGAAAAATCTATTTTATTTCGGCAAGAGGAAAAATATCAGTTACACACCATAAGAGAATGCTACCTGAAGAGAAATTTAGTAAAAAATGAAGAGATAATCATCAAGACTGACATAAATTTTTAAGCAAACGACTGATCTTTGTAAAAAAAAAGCAATAGCAAAATGGAATTTCGTAAAACCAAAAATGTTTTTATAAAACGATAGCCATAAAAACTCGATATTATATTGAACATTTTTTGAACGCTTTGTGTCTTTGAATCCTCTAGCGGTGCAAGATAAAACACATTTTTTAAAATAACGTTAAAAAATGTCTGTTTATATTAATTTAAAAAATTTTTGTTATGATTACAAATTCGATTGATTTTGCTAAGAAAAAACGCAAAAAATATATATATTTCATAAGCTACTTGTTTGACATTTATTTTTTTATTATTACTTTTTAACATCATTGTTTTTATTTTTATTTTTAAGTTTATTGTTATTAGTCCCTTATTAGCGCCATTAGCCTATTTCAATCACTAATTATTCAATTCGACGAGCGCCTAAAAATTTGTTTATTTTATAGTTTTTTTTTAATGTTTTGATTACTCTTTATTGCTTTGTATCTTAAAATCACATAAAATTAAGACGAGGAGCATGAAATTCTTTGTGCAGCCTAAATACAAATTTTTTATCATTGTATTTGGATTTGATGTTCACTATCCGTTACGAAACTACATTTTCTTTTATTTTTTAAATAAATTTTTTGGAAAACACCTGCGCCCAAATGTTAAAGCGCTTTCGTAACAGTAAAATATATGAATGTGATGTTCACCACAATACAAGTTGTCAGCTGTTAATCCTTCCCGGTGTTTAAAAATAATATATAACGTCACACTTTCATACGAATCGTGTCAGCTGCAAGCAAGAATAATATGCAAAATATAACAACAAAAAGACCGAATTTTATCAATGCGCTAGAAAAACGCCGGTGAGAAACGAACAAAGAAAGCAAGTTGAGTGAAAAAAATTCGCACTTTACTTATACAATTATTCTACTTTAATTAAACGCTACGCAAATTGTGCGCCGTGCAACTGTTGAAACTCAACTAAAATTTGATGCTTTGGATGACATCATTTTGCGGCAAGCAAAAATGTTGTACGGAAAAATTCGACAAGCAATAATATTGCAAATACAAAGTAAACTAAAAGTAGTAAGTGTTTTCTATTTGTTGGACGCTTGTTCACCGCCACCAAAGTTCGCTTTAAGCGCGAAGTTGTCAGTGCTTTGCAAAAAAAATGTACAAAAATGGTAGGAAAATTATAGCAGTTAGTAGATGCACGACTCTAGAGTCACCTCGAGAGCACCAACACTAAATATGGTATTTAAAAATCGAACAAAAACAATAACAAGCTAACATACACCGCAAGGGAAGTCAGTAGTAGCACACTTTGGCGCAATATAAATTTTTCAAATGTCATGACTGTGAAACGCTGACATCAGTGGGGACTAGAATTACACGCATAAAATAATGGAAAACTAAGAAAAATATTGAAAACAAAGAAAAAACAATTAAAAAAATTATCTAAAAAAAAATTAATTAAAATAATAAAAAAATTATAATAAATTAAATTATTGTTAAAACTTAAAAAAACATATATTAAAAAAACAACATAAAATAATATTAATAAAAAACATAAATAAATTTAAAAAGGCACAAAAAGTAATAAAAAAAAGTAATAAAAAAAAAATAATAAAAAAAAAATATAAAAAAAATAAATAATAAAAAAAAATATAAAAAAAATGAAAAATAAAAACTAAAAAAAAAAAATTTAAAAATAAAATAAAAAAGATAAAAAAAAAAATGAAAATAAAAACAGAAACCATATAAAACTAGAAAAAAAAAATTAATTGAAAAATTAAAGAAAGG